GTATGCGTGGCTCTGAAAGTGCAAAATTGCACCACCCAGCATAAGGCAATGGATCACTGAGGCACACAAACCATCGCACCACGGTAAGGTCCAGCCTCATTGCGATGGTATTCGGTCATCCGATTGGGAGGCATTCCTCCCCTCTAACAATGTGTGCAATGCCGTGGACTATTTCTACCATCGAGTCCACCAGGTCATTGCTGTCCTTACTATCCTAGACGAGGGGATCACACGTGTGCAAAAAGACGCAATCCTGCGTCCAGTCAGCCGGAACCACAGAAGACTAACTGCTGGATACAGAACGACGGGGAATTTCACCTTGCTTTTATAGTTACACAAGCTCATTGACAGGGTCAAGCACATACAGTTGACGAAGAGGATACACGAAGAACAAATGACTCTAGGAACGACATATAAAACGAAAGAACTTGTTGAATTTCTGCATCGCAGAACTAATCATCACTTCCCCTTGATCGATGGACTGGTTAATACAGACGGACAGTCCCTTCATGATCCAGCTGAAATGTGCGAAGCGTTCAGTACATTTTTCGCTATCTCCATGAGCCTGGAGCCGACCTTGTTAAATGCATACACTGGGGTGCAAACAATCAAAGCCCTAGGTAACACTGAATTTTCTATCACTGCTATCCAACATGTAATGAATTCTACTAAACTGTCTTCCCATCTGGATTTCGATGGTATCTCACCTGCTGTCATAAAACTGGGAGGGCCTGATATGCTGTTACTATTGCTGAACATGTCTACACTTTCGTTGGAATCAAGCTACTTTCCAGACCATCGCGTTCATGATCCCCGGTCACAAGGGTGGCTCCAAACAAGAAACGAATAATTATCGGCCAATCCATCACACCCCTGTTGTAGTAGCCAGAAGATTAGAAAAACTGGTTAAGAGTGGTGTGATGAAATTCGTCAATTCGCTGGAGCTAATAGACAGGTAACAGCACAGTTTCTTGGGCAAACGATCGTGCAGAACCTGCCAATTACGTTATCTAAACCATGCTTCGGCTTCTACTGACTCAGGGTACGCAATCATTGTTCTGTTCCTAGACATGGAAAAAAACATTCCATCGAGTGCCTGACAAACGTCTGCTGAAAAAGATGTCTTCCTTTGGAATTCAAAGCCCACTCCTAGGCTGATTATTGTCACACTTGAGCGGCCGTTCTCAGATAGTTAACATAGCCGATCACCACTCCTCACCACGTCCAATCACTAGTGGTGTTTTCCAAGGGAGTGGAGTGTCAATGACATCAGTGCGGTTATCAGACATGACATACCGTTCCTATTTGCAGATGACATAAAGATAGTCTAAAAATTTCGACGAGCTGAACTTCAAGATACACTACTGTTCATACAGGAAGACCTCCACTCCCTTGAGAACTGGTGTGAGACCTGGATGATGAAGTTCTAGGCGAAAAAATCTAGCATCATGTATCGTGGCTGTTCGTTACCTTAGGGATCAGTTACACCTTTGTGCGCAGCTGTCTAACCGCGATCTCGGAATCAGGTATTTTTGCACCTTCAACTTTTCCGAACAGGTGGAATACCAGCTATCTAGGGCCAGAAAATCAATGGCTAATATACTACATAAGATTCACATAACCCCAGCCAGAGTAGAACTCTTCAAAATAATCACTCGCCCTGTTTTTGAATACTGCGGTATCATTTGTGGTAACAAGAGGAAACCTGACAATGTATCACTAGAAAGTATACAAAGGTCATTTACCAAACGTTTGCTAGGCAAAACATCCACTAAGACCTATCTGGAGCGCTGCCAACAATTCCAGCTCGATTCACTTTGGTTACGAAGATTGATACATAACCTGATGCTTCTGTACATGATTCATCAAAACGCCCACTGCTATTTGCCCTCCCTAGAACTACAACATCGTTCGACAAGGGTGCTACTCAACGAGGAGTTTACCCTGAGTGTACCCAGGTGGAGGGTAGATGTGCGATTTAACTTTTCCTTATGTGACATGCTGTCCGGTGGAATAAGCTTCCAGTCACAATCAGACCGTGTGAGAGTGCAACGGCCTTTCGCGTTAAGCTCACCAAGTACCTAGATTTGAACACGATTACGACCTTGTTCCCTTGGGACAGATGATTTGATGATTTGTACCAAGAAGGGTCAGACAACATCTAATGAAGGTAACAAAACAAGATTTCATACTGTGTGACACACCCCTAGTGCTGTTACTATCCACTATGCCAACTAGTGCACATTGAGTTGAAACACACTTGGGAGTTAATACAAACCGTTGAAACAGCAAAAACTATGAAACTCACACATCTATTTGCCACTCATGCATGAGCATGACATATTCTGTAAAATATGATGTGGGCCAAACATGGCCACTTACTCACTCGATAAGAAATATACATATTATTGTTATTATTATTATTATTACACTTCTTGTCTATGAATAATTCGAACAACCTTCGGCTGTCCCACCGTACAATTTGATCTGGTGATCCGTTGATCATTCTTGCACGGTTGTGAAATATATCATTTATCTATTTATTTATCAGCACTACTGTCACTGTCAATCGTTGCTATTTTTAATCCCTCACATTTTATATTCCTCATTGTTTCACTGTTGGCAACGACTTGGCTAATCTCCTGAGTTGACGGACTGAAGCTTTCAAGGCGTATTGTCACGAATTGACTGGTGTATAAAAAGTGCCATGCTCGGAAGAGCCGAATGATGGAACAGCTGGATGGCTTGGTCACCCTAAAGATGCGTCAAATTGGTGGCGGCTTACTTGTTATTTTGCTACACCGGGACATAACCGGATGAGACATGGGAGTGTGGGTGAAACCATTCGAGGGACTACGCTGTATGGGAGCAGGTCATCTGGAGTGGGTTCCATGGAGAGCTGTATTACTTCAAGTGAACATTTGACCATATCTGCATTCGTTGTTCTCAACTTCTCAATCTCTCTAATAGTGAAAAATGGCCGGCAAGTAGCCTAAAGGACAGCAAAGCTGCTCTGTGAACCGAGGAAGCGGGTTCGAGCCTGTGAAAAGGACCGGACGACTACCGTAGTAACCTTAGACCCCACGCAATTGTTGGTGGTTGCGCAACAGCGAAGTGTACCGGTGTACTACTGATATGCTACCTTAATAATGTTCACTTGTCAATTAATCTAAAAATCCGTTTGGGAACCACTGTGGAAAACATGAACAATTACTTGATTTATGCGATCTCGCTGTACATATTGATCAGATCACTCAGTTGGATTACCACGCACTGTCAAGGAATATAACGTTTACTTATTTAGTTGGGGTGAAAAAGAATTGTATGTAGTTTGGACGCAGGCAGACCAAACATGCTTCAAATCGTAGCACATTGAGTTCGCTGCATGTGTATGTGTGTATGCGGTTAATCAGTTATACATGAATGTAGCTAGGACGTGGCGGATTTTACTATGGAGACACCAAAGAATTAAAGCCCTGGAGGTGATGTAGTCGAAACGATGTGAACTGCCTGACGAAAGCGCAACCGATGAAACTTAGAAATCCTTCCGGAAGGAAGACAAACAAGTAAGCTATCGTAAACTTGTCACATTAGATTCTCAGTTTCCACTCTGGAATCTAGGCAATTTTACATCGAACAGATAATCCAGTTGGGTGCCGGCTATCGGAAAACAAAGGCAGTTTTAAGCGAGAGAAGAGATAAATACACCACCCCGGGAGTGCCAAAAGTAGCACCGTAGTGCGAGAAAGAAAAAACGGTCAGGACAATGTACGCTGTTCAATCATGTGGTAGTAAAATAAGGGTGAAAAGTACAACAAGATGCTCCCCATAGATGGCATGTTAAACGAATATTTTATGCACAACAGTAAACAAACGTTTTGACTGATTTCCAATTCAAAGCGGCGCATTGATATATAGTGAGCGGAGCGTTAGGGTGTCACACAAACCAGATCGCATGGTGGTTGTGTTGCAGAAAATCGCGATCTACACTGACTCTGAAGACTAGTTAGAAATGAAACCAATGACTGTATGAATATAGATCATCATCCGGCGGATTGGTGCCTCATGTTTTCACTTTAAGATAGAGAGCATGGCTGAGGATTCTCATCGTTCCCCGGCAGATTGGAAGGTATCACAGCGTCGTAGCCCGTATACACCTGATAGTTGTGTATGAACGAAGCATCAGCCCGAGGTGCTCTGACGAAGCAGTTGCTACTGCCGATGCTTTGGGGGCTAAAAAAATCAACCCGTGAAGCACTGCTTGAACTCACAAGTACCCAACAGTTTCATTTGGCGCCTAACCATAATAGCTGAAAAAGTAGTGCCTCTTCCGGATGTAAAAAGAGAACAAGCAGGTATACTCTTGCTTAATAGCCGCGGTACAGTTTCGTAATCCAGTAGGTATGAAAAGATGCAATCTTTGAAGTCTGCTACCTCTCTTTCTCTTTAGAAGTTGGACAGCAATGAAATACACGGTGGAAGGTGCGCGGCAGCCGATCGCCGAATCTTTAAGAATGCTAATAACAGATGTCACAACCATCAACAAACAACCGAACCTCACGATCTCAACCTCTAGGTGGAAAAATGAAAATATTATCAATCTGATAGTAATAAGGAATGCACTGAAAGTACACCCGGGAGTATCTGAAATAGACCCGGGATCACGGAATCCTAAGGTCACAGTCAAGAATGAGGTGTCGAAGTCAGAGTGTACACAGACCCAATTCAATGAATCGGAAGTCATCCTTTCAGTGGAGACAATGTCGAGCAAAAACTATCCTAATGAACAGGCATAAGTCGCGCGTCGTTAGTATTCGACGAACGGGATTGGGAAGGCAAAAAAAAAGATTCGCAAAGTAAGTAATATGTGAAAATTCGTTTGTTCAAACAAGGCTGTAGCAGCTAAAAGGAGAGCTTGTCATTCACGGGATTGTTTGGAAGGCAGCGCAGGCAATCGATAGCGTGGCTGAAGGGAGGGAGGGAAAGGAACGCGAACTCACCGAAAGCAGTGTGTCATGCGGGTATGCACTCGGGCGGCGGATGACGAGCCAATTGAGAACCGGCGAACCGGACCCCAAAGGATCACCTTCGTAGTCTGAAAGACGATGATAGTTCTCACGTAACCAATAGCCTAACAGGGTGACTGCAAACGGAAGGCCATGACATAAACGGGCCAGGGGGTAAAGATTGATGGCGGAAGCTGTGCTAGCAGTCGTAGGAGCCGGGGGAGGGAGATACAACGTGGGTGGATGATCAGTCCAAGTGGAGAGGAGATGCGCGACCTCGTCATCCATCAGATCGTCATAAACTGGAAACTGAAAAGAATGGCCGGTAGGTTAAGAAGGATGAACCTTACGCAATGGCTAAGTAGAAACGTGTTGGCAATGGTAATATGAAATATAGTGATGATTCAGCGGCAGATTCACCGACCGAGAAACATGAGGACCTGATGCAAGACATCACAGGCAACCACATGCAAGCTGGTCAAAGCAAGGATTCAAAATACCGTGGTGCGCTAAGTAGGGGTTAAGTGGGCATTGAAATGTGCCAGGGTTTCTCAATCTACATAGTTTTAGTGAGAAGCTGACAGTGTCAAAAAGTTATGAGGCACAATTTGCGCAGTAGGTGTAGTTAAACAAGTAAAGAAAACGCAGCGAGCAAGAGCGCAGTTAACGGTAGTTTGCAACCTCAACATCCTGTGTACTTGTAGGTTGGGTTTAATTGGATTGTGTGAATACTGAATACTGGTTCGAATCAGCGAATAGAGCTTTCTCTGTGTGGCTGCATCATTCGTCGCTCTTAGACATATACTCCTTAGTTATCGTTCCGCTCTCTATATTTTGCCTCCGCAAAGTGTTTGTCTAGGAACTTCTTAAATTCTGACACTGAGTTCGCCTCTACTATGTGCTGCGGCAGGTCGTTCCAGAGATTCCCCACTCTGCGTTCGAAACAGTTGGTGAGCGAAACGCTTCAACTTCGGTACGATAAGTTTATACCGGTGGTGATCGGGCTTCCCGCCCATCGCTGTCGACACGCATCATTCATTCATTCAGTCTTCACGTTAGCTAGAGGTGGACAACATCTCAGCTACTTTGCCGCAATACATAAAGGAAAAGGAAAATAAATACAACAGTTGCATGCCAGCTGAGTTATCAGCAACGGATAGGCATCGCTCCGGTAAACTACTAGCCAGCTACTAGGCAAAAGAAAAATTATTATGTAAAATTATATTAGGTTAGGAATGAGATCGTGATTGGAGGGGAGGCAAACAGGGATAGGGAGGGACAAAGAAACTCACAGCAGGAACGCCATTGAGGTCGGCTCCTTGCCATGTCAGCAAGTGTATCCAGCCAAACGTGTTCATCATTTTTGGAACCCAACCAGGGAGCCGTGACGATCCGACCGAGGCCAGCTCCGAAATGAGGGCTTTCATTCCTCTCGGCCAAGTTATCGCTTGGCCACCCCTACTCTTCTTCTATGCACATCCCCGGTGAGCAAACAACGCATGTCGCGGAAGTCCATGGACTGACATGCGCAACACGTGGCCCAGCCATCGGAGCCTGGTGTGTGAAATGACGGTGCTGAGCGGTTCAATTCCTTCTTCTGTGTCGTAAACAAGGCATCGCACACGCTCGTTACTCACGCAGTGTTCCCACCAGATGTGAGCCAAACTGCGAAGTCACCGATGGTCGAACGTAACTAGCCTCTTCATGTCCGCCGATCTTATGGGCCAGGTTTCGCAACCGTACAGTAAGGTCGAACGTACCGCTGCATTATACACTCTAACCTTCAGGGCGAGAGTGATGTCGCGCCGCCGCCATAGGTCGCAAAGGTTAGAAAAGCACTTCCAGCTTTGGATATCCGGTTCGTGATCTCATCTTCAATCCCAACTTCCAAGGTAGTTGAATCTCTGAACAACTTCCAGCAGATCTCCAAAAAGGGTCCGCGCAGGCGGCGAACACTGCCAATTTTGGAGGAACGCTTTGTATTTCGATGGTGCAAAGCAAAGCCCAAAGCGGCTGACAGCCAGTGCTAAACTGTCCACTGCGGATTGGCACGTCTGGGAGTTGTCACAGATGAGGGCAATGTCGTCTGCATACCCCAAATCAAGAAGTCGTTCTCCTGGAAGTAGCTAGACATCTTCCAAGTCATGTCCTGTAAACGCAATCTTCAGGACTTCGTCAGTAGCGAAGTTGAAGAGAAAAGGTGACAGCGCGCATCCTTGTCTCACACCGCTAGAGATATTGAAGGGTGGCGACAGTTTGCCGTAATTCCTTACTCTGCCCCAGCTACGCGCGTATAATGATCGGATAATATTTACATATTTCTCGGGCACGTCTTTCCTGAGTAGACGATTCCAAAGGGCACATCGATCAACCGAATCGAAGGCACCTTTGATGTCGAGGAACACGACTAGGGTGGGCCGCCAATATGTGTGACGATGCTCCAACAACTGACGCAAAATGAAGATGTGGTCGATGTAGCCACGACCCCGACGAAATCCGGCTTGCTCCTCACGAATTCGGCTTTCACGAGCGCCAGTCAGCCTGTGAAGGATGACAGAGACAAGCAATTTGGAGGCAGTGGAGATAAGAATGATTCCTCTGTGGTTGCCGCATTCCGAACGCGAATCTATTTTGAAGATAGGAAGAATAACGTCGCGCCTCCAGTCGGTTGGGACAGTTTCCTGCTCCCACAGTTTGACTAGTAATTCATGCAAAGCATCAACAAGAGCAGAGCCCTCGAATTTGAAGAGGACTGGATGAAGATTATCTAGCCCTCGGCTTCATATAACTTCAACAGTCCGATCTCACGTTCGACTTCTTAGCGAGAGGGTGGATCCAAAAGGACGGCCCACGGAGCAGGGCGATCACTGGCCGGTGAAGAATCGAACAATTCTGGTCGATTAAATTGCCTTTCAAAATGCTCAGCCCAATGCTATAAACGTTTTGACAAATTGTGGATAGGCTGTCCACTCTCGTCACGTATAGTTTCACTAACAGCAGGTCTCCTGCCACCCGTTTCCCGTATTAGACGGAATTACTTACGATGGTTGTTAAGGGCAGTGGCCACTTCCATCTCTGACGCACGAAGAAACCACCAAGATTCACGGTCTCTCTTCAAGCTAGCACGGAGTCTTGCCCGCAGCTCTTTGCGAGTTTCATTGTGTTCGCTTCAAGCCGGAATATGCCGGCGAGCATCGATAAGTTTCAGAGACCGCGAAGAGACCCAATATCTATGTTGGCACAATTGCTCATTTGTTCGCCGAGCTGGGAAATTTGTTTGCAAACGTTTCACCGCCATGCGAGGCGGCATCATCAGTGCGTCGAGATGTGAACTGTAATCTCGCTGATTGAATTGTCGACTCGTGATCGGCGTGCAGATGACTTTCCGAAAGTGACGGCTTAGATCTGTGTCCCGTGAGCAACTGAATTATCAACCCGAGCTGCCAGTTTTCCAATCCATGTTGGCTATTCATCATCATCATCAGCAACAGCAGTACATCAGCCATTTGAACTGATGCTTCGCTGCCATACAACCATGAGGACCTATGAAACAAAGAATAAGAAGAGGGAGAGAAGGGGGACTTACCCGAAAACCTTAATGCCCTAAGCAAACATTCAGGGTCAAGGCGCCTACACCTTGTGTAGACAACATTCCGTCACAAACAGCTGGCTATCGTGCAAAGATAAGGCGGCATCGGCGAGACAGCTTCCTTGCGGCTTTCACTGCCACGCGTCATAATCAGCCATTACCCCGCAGATAACTCAGCACCAAACACACTTTAAACAGACAATCCGATTAGGAGACGGCAGCAGACGGGCCACTGGTGTCGGTTGCGAGCCATGTCCTGCAAAGTCTCGAGCCAAGCACAAGGTGAGTCACGTGGACTCCAACTCGGAAGGCGAGGCGGACCAACGGCACCCAGTTTGGCAGTCAGTGACATTATTTGCCTCTGCCAAGTCAACTTCTGTCCACCTCGAGCCTTGCGCCATCCGACACCTGGTAGACTGAACAAGGCCCTCCTAGGTAAGCGATGATCAGGCATACGTAGCATGTGCCCGAGCCAACGCAACTTATTCAGTGCTATCTGTTGTTCTAGGGAGCTAGCATGATCATCACCCCCTAGTACTCGCCTACGCACATCATCGTTGCGGACACGCTGATGCCATCCGACACCAGCAATGCTTCGCAAACAACGATGACGAAGACTTGAAAGGCGCCTCAGATCTTCAGACCGAAGGGACCAAGTTTCACTACAATAGAGCAGAACGGCCCTCACTGTGGCCTTGTATACACGGACTTTCAGACGGAGGGAAACTCCCTTCTGTCGCCAAAGATGCTGCAGGTTCAAGAAAACAGCTCTAGCCTTTGCAATGCATGAGCTGACGTCAGTTTCTATGCGCCCATCGTTGCTGATACAGCTGCCAAGATAAGTGAATTGATCAACCACCTCGAATTCCTCGTTAGCAAGCGTCAAGGGGTCATCAAGTGGCTGGTGGTCCTGCAGCAACACTTTGCACTTTGAAGGTGCGAAGTGCATACCAAATAATGGGACCACTCTGGATAGGCTATTCAGGGTTGATTGTGCCGCCTCAACATTGTCGAAAAGCAAGACGATATCGTCCGCATAATCTAGATCAACTAACCGTTCACCAGGCAGCACTTCAACACCTACATCGTGAGATTCCGCAAGGGAACACTCTATGATAGAATCCACGACGAAATTGAACAAAAATGGGGAAATCGGGCAACCCTGTCGAACGTCACTTGTAGTCGAAAAGCTATCCGATAGGGCACCATAGACCCTGACGCGGCCCATAGTGTTCGAGTATAGAGCACGAAGGATGTTCATATATTTCGCGGGAACACCTTTCCGCGCAAGTATTTCGAACAGAATCGATCGATCGACTGAATCGAACGCACTCTTGAAATCGAGGAACACAGCCATTGTCGGTCTGCGGTATGCGTGGCGCTGCTCTAGCACCTGCCGCAAAGTAAATATATGGTCTGTACAGCCACGTCCTGGGCGAAAACCGGCCTGCTCTTCTCTAATCCGAGATTCCCGTTCTGCAGTGAGGCGACGAACGATAATCGAGGCCAGTAATTTTGTCACAACTGGCGTTAGGCTAATACCCCTGTGGTTCGCACAGTCTGTGCGACTGCCCCTCTTGTATATTGCCACTATAATCGATTCGCTCCAATTAGCCGGCACACTCTCTTCGTTCCAGATACGTTCGAATAGGGAGGTCAGTGCTTTGCAGAGGACCTCACCACCATCCTTAAATAGTGCAGGTGGTAGGGAATCCGGGCC